CTGAGTTTCCTCAAACTTTAAGAGGAGGAGAGAGCATATATACTTTAAGTAGGACTCACCATGACTTTGAGATAGCACCTAGGTCTGCATCCTCTTAGAAAGAACAGAGACCAAAGCTCTCACTTGTGGCCTCCAACTAAAGTTTGGGGGGGGGAAGCAGTATAAAATACTTGGATATCAGTCTTTCTAATTGGTACTTCTCATGGGTGTTCTGTCCTAGACCATCCCAAGAAAATGTGGGGAGCAGGAGTCATCACATAATTTAATCTTTTGTTGCAACTTCATTATTTCATCTGGAGTGTATCCTGGAATTTACACAAGATTCATTTGACAGCATATGGGATTGTCCCCCAAGCAAATGGAAGTTACCTGATTTTTCACAGTAGCAAAATTTAAAAATATCACTGCATACTAGATCAAAATATCATAGTTACTAGATGACTGAGAAGCAATTGTAGTACCAAACATAATATTTATTGAACAGCTATTATGTATTAACAACATAGATACAAACACAGTAAGCCATAGTTCCTACACTTAAAATTTCCCAAATGAATGGGAAAAGAATCAGTTAATGAAAAATTAAAATATACATATGTCTTGCTGTTGCTCTAAGTATTTTCATTCAGGAACCGGAAGAATATACTTGATCTAAATCTGGTCAGCATTTGCAGAATGAAGTCTGTTGTAGTGATGTTATAGTTTGATCTGTACATAGCAGGTGCTTAGTAAGCGGTCATCAGATAAAGGAAAGACCGAATATCCTGTGCAGTTTCTGTGTACGTGTGGTATGATCCTGTGCCCAATTTCCAGAGCATTGCATGTTTTCTAGTTTTCATAATGTATTTTAAATGTCTGAAGTCATATGGTTTTGCCTACTTACTACTTATTTTCTTTAATGTGTCTAGTAAAGGCTACAGAACTTGTTCTTTTCAGTTGAGATGTTAAAATGAAGTAGGGCAGGGAGTGAGGGGGGGAACCTAAGTTCAAAATATCAGATTGCTTTGGCAAGACTAACTCCTTTTCGTACTAACCACCAGGGCACAAAGCTTCATTGTCGTCCAGCTGAATGAATGTGTGGCTTTCATTTTTTAAAAAAAAACAAAAAACCCTTTCTAGTAATTGAAATTTCAGGAAAATAATTGGTTGTGGCAAATGTCAGGTGAATTTGCTCACCAAATAATACTGTCAGTTGGATTTTGCCCACTGGCTTTCATGGTCCATCTTTCACAGCCAATGGCTACACATTTAGAAACTGACTTTAAATATCTATACAGTTGATCTCATATACTCACATGTCCCCTCTTACCCTTCTCTTTAGCCATTCAGGTTATACCTTAGCAGAACATATCCAATATACTTTGAGTTCATCTTTAGTGAGCCATCTACCAAAATATATTGCTGTAACTTCAAATTATTGGTACTGGGAGCAAAGTATGGCCTGGCAGTTGGGGTGCCTTAAGAGATAGTTCAGGTGAATTTCTGATGCCTTTAAAATCACCTGGAGAGTTACTGCTTTGGCGATAGTTGGCCAGGAAAATTCTTTGTACAAGATCCAAAAAAGTGTTTTTAAGTGTTCAAAAAAGGGTCAATTATGAAAAACATCTCTAACAGTGTGGGCAGAGTTGATCTCAGTTATTTTTGAATGAAATCTCAAGGCCATGACAATGAAAATAAAATACTTTGCCTGATTTCTATTTAGATCTGATCTGCCTGTCACCAGAAATTCATCCATATGGAGGAATTAACTGTTCACATGCTCTTTCAAACGTCTATGTGCTGTGTGGAGTAATGTAAAATGATTAATTTGTTCTGTCATTCCCATTGAGAATGTAGGGCATCTCTTAAAAAGAAATAGCCCTTTATTTTGAGAACACGGAAAATTAATTACATTCACCTCACCAAAGTGCTTTTAAGTAAATTAGCCTGGACCCTACCTCAGCGAGAACAGTTATAGTTCCTTATCAGTGTTCCTTATCAGGACCCCCATTCCATGTTACATATGGAGGAGGCAAATTCGGTTGCCTACGGGAGCATGTCCTGACACCCTTCGACCAGGGCTTTGCGATGTTTGGGAAATGATGAGCACTTTCAGTGTCGGCCCTGTTTCCCGTGTCCCCATCATCTCATCCACAGGAAGCAGGTTGCTCTCCGTATCACATGTTTCTGCCTTATCTTATCAGGTCCACAGAAGGATTTTGTTCTCATCTTCCTGTCTTTAACTGTCTAGACCATTTGACACAACTTGACTGTCCCTCATTTTTCTTTCAGTTTTTAAAAATTATGGTTTCTTTAATTTTGAGTCTATTTGGAAACATTTTCTGACTCTCAAAGAGAGTCATTTTTTTCAAATTCTACCTTCAAAAATAACTTGTGCTATATTTTTCTTTTCACGTTTCTAACTTCTAAGTGTGTCTTTATTGATCTTTGGAGAACATTTTGTTGATAACACTAAAATCTATTGTACGTAATACAAGAACTCAGCACTGGAAATATACAGAAAAATATAGTCTGACCTCTAAGGAATTTGCAGTCTACTGAAAGGGACAAGTAAACCTACAGAGGGGACGTGATTAGACATGTGATGAGAGACATGTTTGTGCGTAGGAAGCAGTGAGGATGGGCACCTCACCCAGACATCGGGGGAGAAGTTTGCAGAACAATAACTAGTGTTGTCATTGTGATCATAGCCAGTGTCCATTGCTGACTAGTGCCCCACTTTCCCTAAGTACTTTACATATGTTAATACATTTGATCCTCACCATAACTCTTCGCTATGGGTATTATTAGGACTCCTCCTTATAGATGAGAAAACTGACTCCCGCTGCAGTGATCTCCAGGAATTTCTGTAGGGACACATAGTCAGTAGGTGACTAAATTAGGATTTCAACTCAGGCCTACCTCCTCAAGAACCTATGCCTCCAACTGTCATGTTAGAAGAGGTAGTGGCCAAGCCAGGTCTTGCAGAAGGAGCATCAGTGAGCTGATGGCAGTGTGTAGAGAACATTTCGACAGATGGACCTTCATTTGCAAAGTCATGATGGCACAGAGCTTGAGGAGAGAAACAACATTATGAATGACATTTATGGTAATAGAACCAAAGTCTATTTAGCAAGCTGTATTTAGAAGAGGGGTAAACTGTAAAATCTTAGTATTTGTTTTGTTAGGATCGTTATAAAGTGAAAAAATAAGCAAGTTCTTTGTCTACTTTTGGAAGTTTCTGTTGTAAAAACACAAAATGACAATATTGGAGTTGGTCGTTTGGTGGGGCAAGCACCCAAGAAGACAAAAAAAAGTCTCCTCCTGTTTTTCTCATGCCGTCATTAGCTTTGCAGAGTGAAGGCGTTCCCACCCCACCAGTGTTCTGGGGTAAATATTAACCCCTAGAATCCCATGTATGGTTTTGTCTTTATTTTACTTCCTCTCTATAAAATTATTTTCTACCATCTGTCCCACTTTTGAAGCTTAAAAATCAGATTCGATCCTGCTTTGGAAAGAAGCTAAAGCTACAGTGGACTAAATCTAGACCTAAAGGGCCCTTAGACATTTTCATTTGGAAACTGAAGCCCACGGGTTAAAATAGTTTCCCGGGTTCATACAACTGAGATATTAACTTTGTATCTCTGGATTTCTAACCACTGGTCTTATTCACTATGTCTTTCTCCCTATCCTCAGACAGAGAGCTATCTATTACAAATAAAAATCTTATCTAATTAATATAAGCAATCTAATGTTATACATGTTCTTGTTATGTCTTGTGATAGTACTTGGGGTAAATCCAGAGTTTTGGCTGCATCACCAGTGGCCTTCCTGGGATTCAGTATGTTCTCCCAATAAATGTCTCCTGGGGCTCCACCCAGATGGCCCCTCTGAGGAAGGTCTCGGAGTTTCTGCCACTCAGCACATCTCCAGCCTGGGAGTGAGATGCCTGTCTCATTTTCTCTCAGCACTCCCAAACTTCCTTTTTTCTCTTGATTGGGGGCAGCAGGTTAGGAATCTGCAGGAAATATTTGAGGAGTCCTTTTGGCTATAAATGCAAGCATGTCACTCCTCTGCTCAAAACTGTCAGGAGACCTCTGTCTCATTTAGAAATAAGTACACAAACTTTTCTGTGGCCTAAAACGTCCTCTAGGATCTTGCCCCAGGCATCTCTGTTCTCATGTTATGCTCTTCCTCAGCTCGTTTGTAGACTGTAGAGTAGGCATTCAATAAATGTTTGCAGACTGAATAAGTGAGTGAAAGCATTTCCTTGGTTGAATGACTCATTTGTTCATTCAAGAAGCAGTGCATCCTTTATGGAGGCACTGTAATGAGGTGCTGGGGGCACACTGGTGAGCAAGACAGACATTTCCTACTCCTGATGCTTACCACCCAGTGTCAGTGCAGACAATAATCAAACAACCACACAAATCAGTATAATATTAGTATTCTAATAAGTGTTACAAAGGGAAGGTTCATGGTGCAGTGGGAGAGCTTGTTTGACATTTGCCTTCAATGAAGAAGTGATGAGAAATTGGAAAGACAATGAAAGTTAACCAATCACTTAAGATTTATATATTTGGCGTAAATTTTACATTAAAAATAAATATTCAGGTGGGATTAATGATATGCATGCTAAGGCCTTTAGGGGACAGTGTACCAATGTATCCAAAAAATGAGTCGGCCCTGGCTGGTGTGGCTCAGCGGATTGAGTGCTGACCTGTGAACCAAAGCGTTGCCAGTTTGATTTCCAGTCAGGGCACATGCCTGGTTTGTGGGCCAGGTCCCCAGTAAGGGGTGCACAAGAGGCAACCACACATTGATGTCTCTCTCCCTCTCTTTCTCTTTCCCTTCCCCTCTGTCTAAAAATAAATAAATAAAATCTTTAAAAGATAAGTTGATTAATGGATAGAAGTAGGGATAGATAGATGGATTCATGTGTGATAGAGCAAATATAAGAAAATGTTGCTAGCAGAATGTAGGTGGTAGGTGTATGGGTGATCTCTATCAATTTCTTTCAGATTTCCTGTATGCTTGAAAATGCTCGTAATGTTGGGGAAGGGAGTTTTAACCAGGTAAGGAGAGTGGAGGGAACAGTCTCTGCTGAGGGTAGAGTATGTACAAATGTGGTTTATATGCCATTACACTAGTTATTTTATGTTTTGGATGAGTCTATAGAGCAATAGATATATATCTAAGTATTGGGTACAGTGCTAATTAAGTTTGCCTTGTTTGTGCCTTACACTCTGTTGACTAATTTTTATTAGCTCTAATTTTAAATTATCACTGACCTTCTATATTTCAGAGTTGCTAGAGTCGATAGCCCCTCACAGAATCAGCATTTGTTTTTAAATACCTGCTATTTGAAGAGTACTTGCCAATTTTCAGTGTACTCTCACATCCATGGGCTTACTTGATAATGACAGCTATCCTGTGGGTGTGAAATAATGAAGACCATCACGATTTATCCTCATTTTGTGAATGAATGAATGAATGAATGAGGCTGAATCTTGGGAGGGCAGGGAAAAGTGGTATAACCCAAACCACCAAATATAAGAAAGTGACGTTACTGAAGCTATGCCTGTCCACAAGCAAGTACGCTGATTTCCAGTTCAGCACACCTTTCTTCACTTCACCGCTGTTCCTCGGACAGCTTGAAACACATGTCCAGGACCAGTGAATCCAAAAGCAGTTTCTTTACCTGCCACTTTCACAGGAATTGCTAAACTCAGTCTCTTCCAGGAAACCGTTGCTCATACTATTTGCCCATTATTAACAGGCAGTCACATTTTGGGGACAAATATCTTTAAATTTTTCTGTAAGTGTATTTTATTTTCCATTTTAAGAAATTTGTGTGAGTTATTTTATGGAAATTAGTTTGTGGATCTCAAGACCCTCCTCTTTACAGACCAGTACCAGGGTCTAACTCGTTGTTCAGCATGCAGGGATCACTTGATTAGTCCTTGTTTTTCTTGTGTGTGTTTTTTTCCTTCATGTCAGGGAGGCAGGAGAAATGTCATGGGGAAGAGATATGTTTTTTTATTCCCTCTCTATTCCTTTCTCCTTCAACTCATTCATTTTTTAAAAATCCCAAAATTAAACTAACAATAAGGTCATGGGTTGACTGGAACTTACAATTTGTTTATGTCTAAAAGTAAGAAAGCAATAATCTGGAATGGCAGGTTCTATAGATTCATGTAGTTCATCATTTTAAAAAAGTATTATGAATGAGAGAAAATACATGGAAAGCCTTTTTCATCCAAGTTTTCCAGTAAAGATATACTAATTATTCTCCTATTGTATACATTTTTACTTTTTAAAGGAGATCTGCCACTTTTGATTAGAACAGTGTTGTATGAAGTCAACTGGAATTTGTTGACAAAAATTCTGTGGGATATTAGCCCAAATATAGTCACCGTTGTCATATGGCCACATTAACTGGTGTTTTTACTGAATGAGCCTCATGCACCTCTTGCCCCAAGACACATGCAAACACCTCTAAGAGGGTGTCTGATCTTTAGCCTTCTCTGAATGCGCACAATCTAGAAATAGAAGATTTTCCTCACATTCCAAGAAATCCACACACCTTTGAGCACGGGGGCACTTTGAAGGATGTGCCGTCCTTCAAAGAGGACTAGCAGAGAGCAGAGGACTCTGCCGTCCTGTTCTCTGCTACTGTGCAGCTTGGTTCCAGCAAGCGCCTTCCACAGTCTGGATGGAAAGAAGGCCCCGTGAAGCCAGTACAGCTGTGCTGGATGCAGTCACCACACGCAAAAAGTCAGACAGTCTGTCCTTTTTATGATCTCACCCTTCCTCTCCTTGAAACTTGTTTACTCAGGTCCTTTTACCATCTTTCAGCCATTTGTCAAAGGTTTGCAGTGGATCTCTTTCCAAATGAAATAGAATTGCATTTTTGAACCCAAATAAGCTGCTCCATAACCTTGTTTATTTAATGTCCGTGTAGTGCCAAAAATGCACACACTTACTTTAAAATAAAATAAAATTATAGACAGCATCTTCTTTATTTAGCCTCTGAACCCCAAAACATATGATTCCAATAGCACTCTAATTGCAATTGTTGTATGTTAATAAGAAAATAAGCACATGCATTTTTATAAAAAGATGTGTATTTATTAAAATATTCCTATGGTTGAATTTGTTTCTTAAGCTTTCTCTACAGGAAACAAGAATCTAAGAACTGCAGTAAAACCCCATCCTTATTCCTAAGTGCTACTACTTACGTTATCATACTGTCCTATTCAATATCTCTGGTCTTCTGAAACAAAGGGATGACTGAAGAAAAATGTTCTGTGGACTCAGTACAAAGTGCTCAGATCCACGCAGTTTGGTGTGCCTCGAAGATTTTGGGATAGTAAACTTGCCAGCTCATTCTTTGCCTTTTCAACTGATATCTAAACACACTTGTATGTGCAAAAGCCACAGGGCCTAACAGACTGGATTTCTGAAGGTCACTGTTGTTTCTATCACTTGATCTGGCCCTTAGTCTAGAGAAAATAAATGCAATAGTAAATTTTGCTTTTGCGTTTTTAATAAAAAGGCCAAGAGTCAGAGGGTTAATTAGAACATGTTAACTTTGCCCTTGGCTTTATTCAGCCAAAATTTATTGAAGCCCCTCTTGTGGCCAGATAGTGTGCTATGCTAGTGCTAAGTGTCACCAAAGTAGAAGATGTTAGGATCATACAACTCTGATCTCATACTTCCTCTAACCAACACAAAGAATATCCTAACCCTTTGTGCGTATATATATGCCTGAATGTGTAGTCTGGAGAACAGATTCTTTAACACTGGCAAATTGAAATTCTTCCTGTGTTCATAAAACTTCTCTTTTAGAAATAAATATACTAAGGATATATCTCCAAAATTGTAGCTGCTAAGAGTTAAGACCTAGAGAGGAATTAGGAATTGCATAAAGTATTGACTGTCACACCTTCTGGTTGCTCTCTTTTTCAGCTGGTAATTTACCACCAAAAAATTATATAATAAGAAATTGGCCACATTACAACAGAGAACTTGGATTTGCATCAGGATTTTGCTAACAGAAGACTGTGAGGAGGTTATTCAGTTGCCTCATCTGTATAATGGGGATAACAATAGTGTCTACATCATAGGGTGAAGTGAGGATGAAGAAATTTTTCAAAATTGAATGACATTGTTGTGGCTTAGTTTTCATTATGCTACTTAACAGCGTTCGGAACAATTGATCATTTGCTTTGCCACCTCTCCTAGGCCAGTGGAAGGTTAGCTTTTTAAGCCTCTGAGACAAATCAAGTATTATACACACCATCAGTCCTTTGTGAAATAAGTCTTAATTGTGGATTTTTCCTTGTTTTCAGACTTCATATAAAATTTAAGATCTTGTAACATTTTCAAAAGAGAAACAGTCTTTGACCCTTTAGTTCTTCTAGAAAATTGATTTAAGAATATTAAAGACAGGTTAAGCACCTGTCACTTGCTGGTGTCATCACAAAATAAACTTGAGAAATGGTTCCCGTAATTCTAACAGTGGGGATTTGTCTGTCAATTAATCACTTTAAAATATAAAAAGTTCCCCTGACTCTAGGTGAGGTATTTTGTTCTTATGGCATCTCCACATTCTAGCATATTCCTTATTTAGACTATTCATCTGCTACTGGTTGTTGTCTCTCTAGCACTGTTAGCTCTTGAGGAAAAGTCAGCTTGTTTCCCTTAGCATCATGCTCTCCAGGTCCTTCCTTACTGTCACAAAGGGTAACATTTTCTTCCTCATTATGGCCAAGTCTATTGTGTAAATGTCCCATCAGAGAAAGACAAATACCATATGATTCATTTCATATGTGGAATCTAATAAACGAACTAAACCAACAAGGAAAATGGGGACAGACTCATAGGTGGAGAGCAGGATGACAGCTTGCAGGGGCAGGGAGAGTGAGCAAAAAGGGAAATGCACTCGTGGACATGGGCTACAGTGCAGTGATTGCTGGGGGAAGGGGAATATAAGAGGATCAGATGGTAATGGGAAAATACAGTAAAGATTAAATAAAAATAAATAAAATAAACCAGTCAAAAAAGTCAACTTGCAATAACATGTAATGTGACAAGATTTTAACCACAGAACCAGAGTCAATCTCACATTAAAAAAAGAAAAGGAGACTCTTCCGGCCAAGATGGAGGCATAAGTGGAAACATGTAATGTGACAAGATTTTAACCACAGATCCAGAGCCAATCTGACATTTAAAAAAAAGAAAGGGAGACTCTTCCGGCCAAGATGGAGGCATAAGTGGACACATGTAATGTGACAAGATTTTAACGACAGAACCAGAGCCAATCTGACATTTAAAAAAAAAGAAAAGGAGACTCTTCCGGCCAAGATGGAGGCATAAGTGGAAACACTGCCTCCTCGCACAACCAAAATTGAGGACAACAAAAGGTTAGAAACAAAAAAACCAACAAGAACTGCCAGAAAATTGAACTGTATGGAAGTCCGACAACCATTCGTCCAGACCCGTAAGAGGGTTGGAGTCGGTGGCCAGCAGAGAGGGGTTCCAGCAGGAAAAATGGTGGCAGGCGGACCCCAGGCACAGGGTGGCAATGCACAGACCCAGTGAGACACACAGGTGGTTGGCTGACCCAGTCAAACATTCGTGCATAGATAAACCAGGCAAAAATGGGCAGCTTGACAGACCACGCAGCCCAGGGTTCCAGCAACAGGAAATAAAGCCTAAAAGCACTGATTGAAAACACTTGTGGGGGTTGAGGTGCCGGGAGAGACTCCCAGCCTTACAGGACATTTCATTAGAGAGACCCACAGGGTTCTAGAATGTACACAAGCCCACCCACCTGGGAACCAGCACCAGAAGGGCCCAATTTGCTTGTGGGAAGTGGCAGAAAAGACCGAAATCCAAGAGAGAGTGGAGCAAGCCCCATTGTTCCCTCTGACCCTGCCCCCACATACAGCGTCATAACCCAGCAACTGAGTTTGCCCTGCCTTGGTGAACATCTAAGGCTCCATCCCTCACTATGTAACAGGTGTGACCTGACCCCCCCCCAAAAAATTGATCAAATGGAAGTACAGATCAAAGCTCCAGAGCCAATATATCTAAGTGAACAAGAGATAGCCAACCTATCATATGCACAGTTCAAAGCACTGATGATCAGGATGGTCACAGAATTGGTTGATTTTTGGCTGCAAATTAGATGAAAAAATGAAGGCTACACTAAGTGAAATGAAGGAAAATGTATAGGAAACCAATAGTGATGGGAAGAAAATGGGGACTCAAATCAATGGAGTGGACCAGAAAGAAGAAACAACCAAACAGAAAAGAATGAAGAAACGAGAATTCAAAAAAAGTGAGGAGAGACTTAGGAACCTCCAGGACACCTTTAAACGTTCCAACATCCGAATTATAGAGGTACCAGGAGGGGAAGAGGAAGAGCAACAAGTGGAAAATGTATTTGAACAAATAACAAAGGAAAACTTCCCCAATCTGGCAAAGGAAATAGGCTTCCTGGAAGTCCAGAAAGCTCAGAGAGTCCTAAAGAAGGTGGACCCAAGGAGAAACACACCATGGCACATCATAATTACATTAGCCAAGATTAAAATGAAGGAGAGAATTCTAGAAGCAGCAAGAGATAAGGGGACAATCACCTACAAAGGAGTTCCCATCAGACCGTCAGCTGATTTCTCAAAAGAGACCTTGCAGGCAAGAAGGGCCTGGAAAGTATTCCAAGTCATGAAATCTAAAGACCTACATCCAAGATTGCTCTATTTAGCAAAGCTTTCATTTAGAATGGAAGGGCAGATAAAGTACTTCTCAGATAAGGTCAAGTTAAAGGAGTTCATCATCACCAAGCCCTTATTCTATGAAATGTTAAAGGGACTTATCTAAGAAAAAGAAGATAAAAAATATGAACAGTAAAAAGACAAACTCACAGTTACTAATAACCACACCTCAAACAAAAGCAAACTAAGCAACCAACTAGAACAGGAACAGAACCACAGAAATGGCGATCACATGGAGGGTTACCAACAGGGGAGAGTGGGAGGAGGAGAGAGGGGGAAGAGGTACAGAGAATAAGTAGCATAGATGGTAGGTAGAAAATAGACGGGGAGGGCAAGAATAGTATGGGAAATGTAGAAGCTAAAGAGCTTATGACACATGGACATGAACTAAAGGGGGGAAATGTGGGTGGGAGGGGGTGTGCTGGGTGGAGGGGAATGAAGAGGGGGAAATGGGACAACTGTAATAGCATAATCAATAGAATATATTAAAAATAAAAGAGAAAACTTTGAGTATACTATTGATACTCTTAAATCTCTATGCCTCAGTGGTGGGTTTAAGCACCCTTACATGCATATTGAGAGGGGAGGACAGTCAGAAAATAAATGTGCCCCCAACATATCTCTTAATCATGCAATTATGAGACCTAAGATGCTTGAAGGCTCAGACTCTACTGCCTTCACCAATTTGCCTTTTATTGTTGCAGATGGCCTAGAAATCTTAGCATCTGTGTGTGTAATTTCCTTAGAGTAAATGCAGTTGGCTTTTTTCTTTGTGTAATTCTTACATCTTTTGCATATGTATATTCCTCCTCCTATTAAGTTGAAAGAATAGAAACTACACTAACCATGTTTTGAGAGTCTTTCTATAGTATCTAGATGTACATTTGATTTTTAATTGACTGATGAGAATATAAGGATGAAGAAAAAGGTATGTGTACAGGAAAGCATTTGTGATGTTGAGGAAGATATTTAGAAACAACTCATAAATTGAAATAAGCCACAGCTAAAAATGGATGATAAGAAAGCATAAATATATTAGTGAAGAGTATAAATATATAGATATGAGTATATAGATAGGAGTGTGGGGGTAAGGAGTAGAAAAGTAACTGCATTTTAGAAAAAGGAGCCAACACATTTTTTATGATTCACTCAAAAAAGGGAGCCATTTGAATATGCATCCAAATGCATAACCAAGGAGTCAAAATAAACTAGTATGTGAAACACATAAGAAAAAACGTCTCGTGTGGCACTTGGTTGAAAATTTTAAACACACCTATATGCATAACATGTTGGATTTTACACTGAGGAAAGAGATTATTGCTTATGTAAATAACAAAGTGAGTTTAACATATTTAACCCAGATTCAGAGGTCACTTCTCCATGTGAAAAATTATAGGATAAAAAAGAAAAATAAGGTTTTAAAACTACAAGTCTGTTGGAATCACTTTTTATGAAAATTTCATTCAAAGCATAAAATTTGCTTGAAAATCACCATGGCATGCATTTGTACTGTATTGTTTAAGGGCCAATATAATCCTTGAGGAAATTTATAATTTTACTATTTTAATGCATATAGCACATATGAACTACTTGCTCTCTTCAACCTCTGTGTTGCACCTGTACTAAGAAACATGCCATTTTGATGAATGTGTCCTACACATGAAGAAATTAAATGAAGCCATTTACAGTGCATGGCAGTGTAAGTGAGCACGTGTGGGTAAAAAAGTGTAACAAGCATATAAATCAGCCAGTGTGCTGCAAGAAGCACCCTGGGTGCTGCAAGAATTTCTAAAGCGTGCAGTACCTTACTATTTAGTAAGGGGCATTGGCCTCTTGTGGATTGTCAAATAAAAAATACGGTGACAACAGTCAACGCAACAATAGCTGCCCAGTGTGAATAAATCAAAATTATTTTTGTCAGACTGGCAATATATATATATTTTAGCATGCTGCAGAATTTTATTAATTAGTTTATGCATGCCAAGAGAAGCAAAAGGTTGAAACTCACTGATACCAATGTTAACCAGAAGAAGCAAAATACTGAATCCTTTAAATGGAACTTGGAAAGGAAGATTTTGTGAACTTGAATAAAAAGCACATATGACTTCCAATTTCAAAATGGTGAACTAAGGGTGTTTCCGCTCTTCTCTCAAAGATTAACACTTGAAAAATAAGAATGTGAAGAAATAGGAACACTGATTTGTACATTGACAACTAGAAGACATATATAACTTGAAGTTGAAGAATATTGAGGGAAAACTGGTAAAATGACTCAGAACAGAGAAAATGCAAACCAGGTGCCTGTCAGTGGGACAGCAATGGAGAGCGAGTCTCATTCGTGCAGAATTTCATGGAGGCTTTTCAACTGGAGGCACTAATTACCGCAGAGGAGAGGGTGGGAATGAGGACCTTGAAAGTGTCTGCAAGGAGGAGTTACACCCTTGCTCTGTGTCCATCCTGGTCCCCACACAACCTCTGCTGAGACAGGAATATTCTTTGGAGCAACTTTGGATTGGAAATGAAGACGGAGAACAGCACTGGAGTGAACAAAGGATTTAAAATAGGAAGATTAAGTGTAAGTGGGTATACCAAATGATGAGACCACCAGTTCCTAACCTCCTGTGGTTCCAGATAAACTGAACTTCCCCTAAGGGAAAAAAAAAAACCTTTCATATACTTCTAATTTGGAGCCTCCACCCTACTCCCCCACCAAAAAAAAAAGCCAGTAACCACTTGATGAGTCCACGTTTAATTATATAAATCTCAGGCATTATTTGCAATAATTAATGCTGTGCTGTGGATTGGTGTCTAACAGTCCCTGAAGACTCATGGCTTAATATAATAGAGGTTGTCTCCTTCATATGAAGTCCAGTACAATCAGTGATCCCCCTCTATTTTGCAGCCATGCCATCTAGAGCATGTGCCCCCACAGTCCTTATGGTAGAGACTAGGATAGAAGAGCCTGGCACACTTACCTGTCTCATCCCAGAAGTGACACATGTCATTTGCAGTCGAAGTGTAGCGTTCACAACCGTTCACCTGGGGGATGTGGGTGAGCACGTGGAATATTGCGTGGTCACTAACTTCTCTACATAGTGTGCCAAGTTATGTCCAGGTTCTCATGAGCCTCTTCACTTCCTTCTCATGCACCAGCCGTGGGTTTGGTCATTTATTTCATTGAATAGTTATGATTCACTTCAAGTGTAAAAGCTAATCCTTATTGCCTGCCTGTTATGTGCTGGCACTAATACAGAGATGCATGTGCAGTCTTCAGCCTCAGGATTATTTGAACATTTAAACTCCTAGTTCACATTGGCTTTGAAATAATGTTTAGAAGGTCATTTCCTCATAATGTTTATACTGGGAGGTGTAAAGCAGTGACCAGCTAATCAAAAGACTGTGTGAGTAATTATATTCATATAATTAACACTATCTAGCATTCTTTTTTTTTTATTTTATTTATTTATCTTTAGAGGGGAAGGGAAGGAGAGAGGGAGAGAAACATCAATGTATGGTTGCCTTTTGTGCGTCCCCTGCTGGGAACTGGCCTGCAGGGAACTGGTCTGCAACCCAGGCATGTGCCCTGACTGGGAATTGAACCGCGATTGTCTGGTTCGCATATCTAGCATTCTTGTTGCAAATATTTCCTTTCAGATATTTCACCCACTAAGTCTTGAAAAGTGTTCCCTTTTCCTTTTTAACTAAAGTAGTCATTGAGAACTCTTTTCTTTATTATAATGACAACACATGAGGATCTCTAATATGCTTCATAGATAAGTAACTGCAAATTCATCTATTTCTCGGTATTACCTTGCAATTTATTTTTGATATTCACTGAAGCAGTTTTGCAAATTAATATTAATATGAAATACTAAGTATAGAAAATTTCATAGAATATCAGTCGATAGCATTTGTCCTGGAAGAGTTTTTACTTCTGAGTCAGTCTTGCAAATGAGTCTCATATACTTTGTAAAGGGAAATCATTCTTCTGATTGAAAAAGTTGTATTTATCCTAGACATATTATTATATATGTTCTTATTTGATTCTGTAAGTCTACAGCTTGAACTGCTCATACCAGTGGTACAACTGAATTTTAGTAGTTGCGTTCTGAGAGTATCGATAAACTTTTTATAATGTTTGGTTGCCTAATGTGTTCTTTCCCAGAGCACCCGAGTGGCCTTGGACCATCTGGAGTCAGTGCCCGAGAAACTGAGCCTGCTAGAAGATTTCAAAGGCTTCCGAGTGAGAAAGAGTTGGCTTGTCTCTTTCAGTATTTTCATCTTAGTGAGAACACTTGACATCTTCCTGATGTGCAAAGAAAGTTGTAGGGGAGGAGGGAAGACCAAAAAACATCGGGGACTTCTAACATTTCATTTTGTCAGAGTTTATTGACATTTGTGATGTCAGGAGGGAAAATAATGGAGCTCACATGTTAGTACAATCTAGGCAAATAGAGGCTTTTACTCTACTAGAAGGTCATTTTGGCCCTCCAAAGCTTTAACTATGGTTTAGAAATACCTAAGAATTAAAAGAGGTTGCACAATGTATCGATAAACTTTTTTGATGAACAATTTCAATTTCTGGATTATCTTCTTTTAATTACATATTTCCAGAGTACTGTTGGCTTTAGAGAGATGACAGTGGACAGGTTATCTCTATACTGACATGTACATTGAAATCCACGCGGAGTTTTAGATTTTATACCCCATGCCATTGGTTGATAGAACTCAAACCACAAAGACTTTCACTAAAAATCCAATTAATTACATGTGTGGATTTACCTAGTACACGTTTTCAAAGTTCCTCACAGAGGGAAAGAGATGCCAAGCAAATAACCCTTCCACCCAGTTCTGCCAGACAAGGTCCAGGCTGAGAGCATCCTCACATACCCGCTTAGGGATGCGTATGTGGAGGGCAATGTTAGAGATTTATAATTTCTCCACCCTGCATGGCTGAAGCTAACAATGGCGAAAATTCACTTGAAAAGCTTTTAACCTCTTCTTTCACACTGTCTTTAAAGTATAACTTATGTTCTGTTTAAGTGCAGTATATTATTTGAGGATATATGAGTAGGAAATACAGTCCTATTATGCCATACTGCAGGCACTGATGTGATGAGCCTCTCAACATCTGTACCGTATTACCTTTCACAAAGCATGTTGAGGTATTTCACTTACTAAACACTTTTGGGTGGCATCCAGGGTTGAGATGACACAACCAGAAATCTAGACTGTCACAAAGACGACAAAAGCAAGTGCTTAAAGTTTGGGAACTTTTTCACTATTTGATTATGTATTCACAGTCTAAAGCCCTACCCAAGTATTATGAAACCAGTGTCCGAGAAGATGTGGTTTCTACCCGCCCTCATTACCCAATGTGGACAGCGGGCAGTACGTTACACCCATGTCCTTTCCCCCTTTTTCTTTGTAGCGAACACAAGTCAAATACATGAAGGAAGGGCCGACAAGAGAGGGCATTGGAAACCGGTGGCCTGTGTCACTGACAAACACATGCCTGTGTTATACCAGCAAAAAAATATAAAGTTTAATCTTTAATGACAGTTCACTTTTTCCCCAGTGGTCCACATAGAACAGAATGTTCATAAGTACAATGTAAAAGTTCTGTATTCTACTATTACCAAAGGGTTTTTTAATCACTTTTATCATATAGGCTAGTGAATGTACACAAGTCTAGATTATATATACATATACTCACATCTGAAGATGCCTAGATAGTGAAATTTGGGGGGATAATATTTTTCAAAGTTCATACTTGTACTTTCCAATACTGGTGACAAAAATGGAAACCTTTCACTTTAAAATGGAAAGGAGTTTGTTAGCAAGTATTATGCCCTGCTCTGTGGCAGGCCCTGACTATGCACATCCCATTACATTTTTTCAGAGTCTCCCTGTCCCCCATCTTACAGCTGAGGGCACTGAAGCTTGGACTATGTAAATTAGTTGGAACTGGGGTGTAATTCTCGGTATTAACAACAATGCTCATCTGCTTTGCCCGGTTGCCTCTAGCTTGAAACCCAGTCTACATGAACTGTAAAGCCATCTATGTGGTTAAAAAGGAGCTCATTTAATAAATTTAGTTAGATGTAGCCTTAAATAAAAATACATAAAGCCTTCAGACCATTAGATGTAGATTGTTGTAGATTATAATTTTCAAACTTCTAAAACTTTTTAAAGATCAGTGTGCTGTGAACAAGGGTCCAAAGAACTAGGTTCTCATCTGCGCTCATGCACCAGACAAAAATCACTTACATCTCAGGGGATATTTTTTATCCATATAATGAGGAGCTTGAATAATTTTATCTATATGTTCCTACTTCATGCTGGAGTCACTAGCGGTTCTCTTGTATAACACTGTAGTCTGTGACTGTAAGTGTGAATATGAACACATCCTATTAATATAGTCTTGACTTGATTGTTCTTTAAATGTGCCATACTCTCTCTTTTTTAACCTCATTTTGAAACAAGTGGTTCAGCACTACAATCCCACGTTTAAACACCCACCACAAATTGCCTAGCCTTGGACAGCTCATTCTTCACTTCCCAGGCACTATAGCTTTTCTTACAGAAAAATGAGAACTTTGGAATTTTAATACTTCTAGTTTGGGACTATTTGGGGAACTAAATGCCATGGGTGATTTTTCTTACACGTGAAAATCAGTTGCCCTCATTCTGATTTTCTAATTTCTCTCTAATTCATTATGTTAATGTCTAAATAAATGGCTGTAGTGACTGCTGTGTTTTACCCTGTTTTCCTGAAATGAAGGAAAGAAGAGAGGGAAGGAGGGAAGGAGACTCACCAGCCCTGGGAATTTTTGCTTTTTAAATTTCTCCATTACCAGAGTATTTTATGTTTTTAGATGAGATATCCTTAAATTAAAAAATTGGTGTGCTATGATATTTTAAAAGGAAAATGTTATTTAAGAATTAGTGAAGAAAAAGGGCTCTAGTTTTAAAGGTAACCTTTTTTATGCCAAGTACGAGGAGAGCACACACATCCGAAGGTGGTGTGATGTCATCAATGAGGAGAGTACACACATCCAAAGGTGGCATGATGTCATCAATGAGGAGAGTACACACATCCAAAGGTGGCATGATGTCATCAATGACCATCTTCAGACAATTTACTTGAAACCTTTTCCACTTAACTAAAGGGTGTCGATCATTTCAGATCAGCAAGGGACTAGTTGTAAGAAGAATGCAAATAACCAATGTTGTCCCGTTTTATTTTTGTGGGATCATCCAAAGTGACCATTTCCTTTTTATCCTTTTAGGGACATCTGATTCCCCTAAGTATCTCTCTAAACTTCTGTAATTATTTATTTTCTACATAGCAATACTTTTGCATTCTAATTTCAAGTACTGAGCTTTCTTTGATCTGGCAGCTTAGACACTTTGTTGTTTTTCCAGGATTCCCACAGTTTATCCGAGAGAATTGATGGGAGATACTCCAAATACAGAGTTCACAGAGAGTCTCCGCAGCAGCACCGAGATGACCCCAAGTACAGAATCAGAAGCTTCAAAGTAAGGTCCATTCTGTACACTTCAGTCTTTGAGCACTATTTGTGTTTGTGGCTTCAACCTTTCAGCAGCTCCTTCAGGGTTCATGTAAGAGTACTTGTAAAAGAAAAGTTTCTGTCTGATACATGAAATAGATTTCCCATTTTGTGGGAGTGCAGAACCAAAAGATAGTGTTTTCAGTTTCTACATGGGAACTAATCTTTACTTTTATGCTATTGTTGCCTGATGTGTCCTTTGTCATTTGGGATTTATGTTGCTTAAGAAATCTTGGACCCAGAAACCCTTAGTCTCCTGGTTGGTTAAAGGCTAAGTGGATGGTTGCTGTCGTTCATGCAGAAGTTCAGCTGTTCTCAGTGCTGAAGTCCCTGGTAGGTAAAGTAGGTGTAGTACTTTGTAAACTATGATCTTGGCATTTACAGTCACTCATCAGTCTTTCCTGAGGACACAGACTCCATACTGCTACTCAAGCTGCTGGTTCATTCTGGCAGAAACAGCATATAGGACACTGGGAAGATCTGACCATGTTGACAGAAAGTCCACCATTCCCTAGATTCTCCTCAAGACCCACCTGGGCTGTGGGTGATTTTCGGAACCGTTTAACTATCAACAGTTATTAGCCAGAGCAGGGTTTCTCGTCCTTGGCGTTATTAACATTTGGGTCAGAGAACTCTGTTGTAGAGGCGGCCCCATGCATTGTAGGATATGTAGCCACAGCCCTCGAGTGCACTCACTAGATGCCAGTGGCATCCCCATCCCAAGCTGCAGCATCAAACACTGTCTCCAGACCCTGCTACATGGCCCCTGGAAGGGGAAATTGAGCCCCACTGAGAACACTGACCTACAGGGAATCCGTCTATATTCGAATGTAGGCTCTGAGTCAATTTAGGGAGAAAAAAAGCTAAAGGCACTTGGAGCTTTTTTCTATTCTTACAGACTTAAGTATGTATGAATACTGATTACACTGTATATGTTTACTTATTACAGCCAAATATAATTATTGCTAAGAAGCTTCTGTCTCCTCTGAATGTAATATGAGAGGATACACTGTGGATATGAAAACAGTGTTCCTTTCTATATTCCTCCCCAGTATGCTTAAAATGAGCATTCCATTTCCTCATTCCCCCCAGAACTTAACACTATTATGCCATATTATTGATGCCCTCATTGTGAAGAGGGAATCCTGTGACCTTCTGCCATTTTACCTCTGTTTTTTACAGATTGGTATTATGGACTATACTGGGCGCCTTGTTATTTTATACAGCAAATTTTAAGTTTGCTAAATCATCTTCCGGCATTCCCATTAGTTTCCCATATACTCAACCATCTCTCCACCATTTGTTTACAATGGTGCTGCTGACTATAAACAGAAATACAAGGTCTAGACATCAATAGCTAATAATAATAACTACTCATTATTGGGCCAGTCACATGAAATGACTCTTTTTGTAGGTGTTTCATGCTTTATATACATTATCTCATTTAATCTTCATTGCAGCCCTGTTGGGTTGGCATCTTTTTTTTTTTCTTTTACCATTGAAGAAAGCAAGGTTTTAGAGCAATCCAATGGTTGAATCAGTTAAAACCTGATTACTAGCTTCAGTAATATATGCCCTTGACTAGTAGGTTATTACAATATAAATTTGGACTTTTACACCCCTTAATTTTTCTAGCAGTCACCAAGTATAGAACTGTGTTTTTAATATGTAAAAGTCAGTGGTCTCCACAAACTTGTAAACACAATACATTCTTCTTAATTCAACAAAGGTCGAGACACAAATACAACATTTTAAAAGTTATTTCTTTTTTCAAGTGTTTTATTTGCATTTAAAAATTATTTCTTGCTCTCCGGTGAAATCAGTGTTGTCTAGCTGCACCCAAATTGATATGAATCAGTGCAATTTGCATAACAGCATATAAATGTTTAACACGTTCAGCAAGTAATCTCATTGGAGTTCTCTCTTAAATTGAATTTGCCACTGAAGAGGAAATCAGGCCTGGTTTGTGAGGCCAGCACTTAGCACAGTGAGAAATATGGTTTGCAGACAGGTGGTGCAAGTATAGGAAAGGGCCACATTAGTGTGACGACATTGTTCTATATTAGTACCACTTAAACACTGTAAAACACTGATTCTTTCCAGTGATGAGTATGTAGACTGTCGCCATGTGGAACACGTGTCTGGCCTGAAACAGCAATCTAACAAAACTCATGCAAATGCTGCATTGTTCGTAGTCATGAGAGAGGGAAATGTGGGAGGACGTTGTTGCCAGTCGTAGACACCAATGATCATTCACTTAGATGCTTTTTATGAAAATAATTTATTTAAAAAGACTGAGAGGAGAGGCAGCTTCAAAGGAAGCATGAGCTCATATGGGCAGAGAGAAAGTTGTTAATCATTTCTGGGCCTCTGGATAATCAGGAGAGCTACTTCTGGTTAATCACTGACATCCTGAAGAAAATTCTTCAAATGAGCGGCACTGGGACTCTTTCTATCAAGAGAGAACATGCCCCACTTTTATAAGACACTATTTCAGCAGCTATTAACTTCCCACATGTTTTGCAAGGACAGAGTTCAAAGAAAAGGCACGTTGCAAGGACTGACTTTATTGCTTCAGCTGAAAACTGGTTCTAGGAAATCAGTTACAGAAGGGTTTAGTTTAATTCAACGAACGTGTTCTGTGCAGCTACCAAATTGCAAGGCACTGCGCCACCTGTTAGAGATGGGCATGTGGGATGTGCAAAGATGCAGAAAGTATTGTCTTCTAGGAGGGGGTAGTTATCAATTTGTCTTAATCCTTATGAATTAGAGCAGGAGTCAGCAAACTGTCACCCATGGGCCAAATCTTGCCTGCCGTCTGCTTTTGTAAGTAAAGTTTTATTGAAACACAGCCACACTCATTTATTCTCATGATGTATATGGCTGCCTTCACACTCAACAGTAGACATGAGTAGCTGCAAGAGAAACTGTATGGTCTAAAGAGTCTAATATATTCATTTTCTGGTCCTCTAGAAAAAGTTTGCCAACTCCTTGTCCAGAGAAAGGAGAAAGGACCAATCTAGCCTTTCTTCCTTTGCACATATATAAAATATTTTTTTCTTATTTACCAATCAAATAAATACTGCTTAAGCTCTTGGGAAAATCAAAACACTCATCCACTCATTTGACAAATATTCATTGAATGGCAGCTATGTGCAGGAACTTACTAGATGCGTGGGACTCACATCATTAAACTAAGTAGACAAGAATCCATGCCTTCTTGGAGCTTCTATTCTAACTGTAGAATATTCATGGTTGTTGTTGTTATTTAAATATAGCATTCAACAAACGTTTACTGAACACAGCCCCTGTACACAGGCACTCTGCTAGGGCTAAAGAGAATGGCATAATAGGAAAAGTCATGACCAAAGCCTCAGGAATTCAAAGCCTCCCCACAAATGACTGTCATGCAAAGGAGAAAGGGATAAATGCTATTGCAGAGACCCTGACAGACCGCAATGGGAGTTCAAAGAAAAGAAAGGCGCTCCAAAGTCTTTTTTAAAACAGTTTGTGATGACAAGGTACAGGGAAATATTTTATCCCCATCTCTTTGGAAGAGAGTGGCTATTAGCATTACAGCTGTACGACCCTGACTGTATTACTATTGACAGACAAATAACTCTTGGAATAGGAGAACCATGTTAGGAACTGGCTTCTCACGTTGCTGCCCATGTAGTAAGGCAGTGAGACGTCCACTCCGACCACACTGCTGTTGGAAGGAGGGGAAAGCAGGAAGTCAGGCTCTTCTGCAGCCCAGGCAGCAAGTCAGGCTCTTCTGCAGCCCAGGCAGCAAGTCAGGCTCTTCTGCAGCCCAGGCAAGAGCTGCGCCCTGCAATTTGCTCTCACAGCAATCAGCAGAACAGAAATTATCAGATTTCTGGAAACCTATTGGGCTTCTCATCAGGACCAATGTCCACAGTTGCTGAGAGCATAATATAATATTGTTCTTTCTTTTTAAAGATTTTATTTATTTACTTTTAGAGAGAGACTAAAGGAGGGAGAAAGAGAGGGAGAGAAACATCCATCGGCTGCCTCTCACATAGCCCCATTCGGGGACCTGGCCCGCCACCCAGGCATATACTCTGACCCAGAATCAAACCAGCAACCTTTCCCTTGCTGGACGATGCCCAACCCACTGACTTACACCAGGCAGGTCAGTGTAATGTAATGTTCCAAGCTGACTGAGTAACTGGACAAAGTCTAATCTAAAAGTTTATATTTAGGATTTAATTTAAAGCTGACCTGACACACTGTCTCTGTCTTTGCGTCAACAACAGAAGCTTGCCATGGCCTCCTTTTCATCAGGCCCAACAGAGTTTCTGTCGGACAGTTTCCCTCGCTGTCCCAGCTGTTTCCAAAGTCAGCTAATAGCATAGAATCACTAATCTGAACTCACGGGGGGTGTGGTTTTGTTTAAGAAGTCCCCATTTGCTACCTGCACTTTGTGCTCCCTACCCATACTCAGTATATGCTCTTAATTAGCAGGGGGGTTTAGTAAAATCACAGAAGGCATGTTTTGTTCCCATCCTTCCTCCTCCTGCAAGGAGACGCATGCTTTTCAATTTTTAGTTGAAGAGTTGGTATGTAAGTTCTTTTTGAAGAAGCAGATGTTTTATAGGATGAGATGAGGCGGGTGAGGAAGTGTTGATCGTGTCTTTCAGCAGCAGTTTATGAAAGCGCAGTTTGCCAAAGCCCTTGGTCATGTTTGCTCAGCGCAAGCATGTGTCTGGTATTAAGTGCGCTTCGCTCCTGGGAGCTGTTTGAGTCTCTTCCTCAGTTGTTTATACTTTGCTCGGAGCAATTAATGGCTCTTAGACTTTCTCTCTCAGGTCAACCATTTCTCTACATACCTTAAATCTTTACAGTAGTAACTTCTAACGCAGGGTGTACATAACTCCTGATGCAGGTCAAGATTGTAGGTGGTTTTTCTTTAATAACTATTCAAATATGTCACTCGCCTGTTATTCA